TGGAGCAGCAGCAGTGCCACAGATGGGATGGAGCAGCAGCAGTGCCACAGATGGGAGGGGGGATGGAGCAGCAGCAGTGTCACAGATGGGAGGGGGGGAGGGACGGGTAAGGGGGGTGATTACAGCGCCACTCATCATCATCATCTCCTCGTAGTTCCCGCGAATCGCCAACCACCTGGAGGCGCACAGCGGAGTGAGGTGAGTGAGGAATGTCTTCTTACCCATAATGCTTAACGCGCTTTCCTAACATTCGCTGTACTGACCGCCGGCTGACCGATTTCAGATTAACTGCTATAAGTCACAACTCCGCCACTGCCAGCGAGAGCATCTCACAGTAATATTCCTGCCGAAGCTTCCCCTCCCCCAAATACCCTCATCTGTGGTGTATGGTCATACAGGCTGTGCCCGGTGTAGGCTGTGCCCGGTGTATGTCAGGCTGTGCCCGGTGTAGGCTGTGCCCGGTGTAGGCTGTGCCCAGTGTATATGTCAGGGTGTGCACGGTGTATATGTCAGGCTGTGCCCGGTGTAGGCTGTGCCCGGTGTAGGCTGTGCCCGGTGTATATGTCAGGGTGTGCACGGTGTATATGTCAGGCTGTGCCCGGTGTAGGCTGTGCCCGGTGTATATGTCAGGCTGTGCCCGGTGTATATGTCAGGCTGTGCCCGGTGTAGGCTGTGCCCGGTGTATATGTCAGGCTGTGCCCGGTGTAGGCTGTGCCCGGTGTAGGCTGTGCCCGGTGTGTATTGGCAGTGCCCTCCTCTGGGTATGCGGTGCCTCATCTCTCCTCTCCTCCCCCAGCTCGGTGTCGGCTCTCTGGAGACATTATACGGCCATTAAGGTAAATCAGATGAATATGATGGGAAATCGCGCTCATGGTGCCGGCCGGCGGGGTCACCTGTTGTCACCTGTTGTCACCTCTGATTTCAGGAATATCGCCGTGAATTCATCGGTGAATGGAGGAAGCTCGGTCTGGACGCTCTGCTGTGTCCTGCGCTCAGCCCGGCATTCAATATCGGCCACCCCGGCAAACTCTTCGGTAACTCTCAGACACCTCCATTTATAAAGACGTCCTGAACTCCGCCCACTGCGCTCCCCAGTGATGTCATCATGAGGTGGATGACATGGTGTCCTGTATACAATGGCTGACCCTTCTAATCTGGTCACCCCTCACTCAGTCTGGCCAGTCTTGTGAGCCACACACCTTCCAGCATGCATAGCCAGGAGGTGACACCACTATTTCCTGGTGCAGTTTCCTGTGTCACCCCCTTCTGTGAATTCTTGTAGTTGGTTACTCTGAGTTCTGATTCTGGGTGTTCATTCCCCGGAGACGCGGTGAGTTGTCACCGTCCCGGCTGTGCTGTTTGGCTGAATGTGTCTGGATCACATGTTTCACCTCCTGGGTGACGTACAAGTTGGCGGCTCTTGGTCTACGTGAGCGCCATCTTTTATGTTGGGATGTCGGATGATGGGGGAGTCTCCGGGTCCCGTCCAATATGGTCATCCGTGTATGAGGACAGAGATGCCGCCAGACTGTGCAGCATTCTCAGTGGAGGTGAGTACGGCATGCTCTGTGGTGTCCGGGTTGTCTGGCCGGAAGTCAGCACACATATAAGGATCACATTGGGATGTTGTGGGGTGTGGGGCGGATCCAGGGTGCGGGGCGGATCCGGGCTCCGGGGCGAATCCAGGGTGCGGGGCGGATCCGGGATCCGGGGCGAATCCAGGGTGCGGGGCGGATCCGGGACCCGGTGTAGGCTGTGCCCGGTGTATATGTCAGGCTGTGCCCGGTGTATATGTCAGGCTGTGCCCGGTGTAGGCTGTGCCCGGTGTATATGTCAGGCTGTGCCCGGTGTAGGCTGTGCCCGGTGTAGGCTGTGCCCGGTGTGTATTGGCAGTGCCCTCCTCTGGGTATGCGGTGCCTCATCTCTCCTCTCCTCCCCCAGCTCGGTGTCGGCTCTCTGGAGACATTATACGGCCATTAAGGTAAATCAGATGAATATGATGGGAAATCGCGCTCATGGTGCCGGCCGGCGGGGTCACCTGTTGTCACCTGTTGTCACCTCTGATTTCAGGAATATCGCCGTGAATTCATCGGTGAATGGAGGAAGCTCGGTCTGGACGCTCTGCTGTGTCCTGCGCTCAGCCCGGCATTCAATATCGGCCACCCCGGCAAACTCTTCGGTAACTCTCAGACACCTCCATTTATAAAGACGTCCTGAACTCCGCCCACTGCGCTCCCCAGTGATGTCATCATGAGGTGGATGACATGGTGTCCTGTATACAATGGCTGACCCTTCTAATCTGGTCACCCCTCACTCAGTCTGGCCAGTCTTGTGAGCCACACACCTTCCAGCATGCATAGCCAGGAGGTGACACCACTATTTCCTGGTGCAGTTTCCTGTGTCACCCCCTTCTGTGAATTCTTGTAGTTGGTTACTCTGAGTTCTGATTCTGGGTGTTCATTCCCCGGAGACGCGGTGAGTTGTCACCGTCCCGGCTGTGCTGTTTGGCTGAATGTGTCTGGATCACATGTTTCACCTCCTGGGTGACGTACAAGTTGGCGGCTCTTGGTCTACGTGAGCGCCATCTTTTATGTTGGGATGTCGGATGATGGGGGAGTCTCCGGGTCCCGTCCAATATGGTCATCCGTGTATGAGGACAGAGATGCCGCCAGACTGTGCAGCATTCTCAGTGGAGGTGAGTACGGCATGCTCTGTGGTGTCCGGGTTGTCTGGCCGGAAGTCAGCACACATATAAGGATCACATTGGGATGTTGTGGGGTGTGGGGCGGATCCAGGGTGCGGGGCGGATCCGGGCTCCGGGGCGAATCCAGGGTGCGGGGCGGATCCGGGATCCGGGGCGAATCCAGGGTGCGGGGCGGATTCAGGGTGTAAGGCGGATCAAATGTGTGAGCTGTGGGGCGGACCCGGGCTGTGGAGCGGATCCGGGGTGTGGGGTGGATCCACGCTGTGGGGTGAGGGGCGGAACCGGG